ATCTTCTAATATAATTAATAAATGTTTCTCTCGTGCTTGTTTATAATATTGCACTAATGCTGGCATAAATTTCTCATAATTCATTCCATATATTGGTGTTTTAATTAAATCTTTTAATTGTTTAAATGTTTCATCTTCTCCTGCATTTTGTGCTACATAAATAATAGCCCCATATAAATGTTCTATATGATTCATTTTTATTAATTCTTTCATTATAAATGTTGTTTTTCCTGTTCCTTGTTTCCCTAATACTATATTCAAACTATTATAATAAAAGAAGATTTGATGATGTACTTTTTGTATTTTATTCCCTTCTTTAATTTCTGATAATTTATCTTCTATCATTTCTTCTATTCTATCTATTCCAATCTCATCTTCTTCTTCTTCATCTTCTATACTATTTATATCTTGTGGATTTGTTTCAAAATATTCCATTCTAAAATTAATTAGTTCAAAAAAGTATTTAAATTAGATTTATTTCTATTCCCATTGAATAGCATAAAGAAGATTAACTCTTTCTTTTAAAACTCCATTTCTAATCTCTTCATTCATTCGATTCTCATTAATTAATAACATTCGATTTTTTTCTAATTCTTTTCTTAATCTCTCATTTTCTTCAAGTATGTCTATCATTAATTCAATTGCATTATCATTCATTTGTCTTTTAATAAAATGTGTAATCTTTTCTTTATTATTCATTTTATTCTTCTTTGGGTTTATTTCTTCATTTATTGGTTCTGGTGGTGGTGGGCATGGTGGAAGCTCTGGTGCTCCTGTAAAGGAACACATTTGTGTGCTGGTGGTATCACTAGCAATTGACATCGTTTGTTTATCATTAAGTTATTTAAGTTGTATTTATATCATCATTTCATTCTTCATTTATGTTTCATTTCCTATTTTTCATTCATTTTTCATTCATATTTCTATATTTTATTACTTTATTTCTATATTTCTTCATTCCTCAATTATTCTTTGCGTCATACTTATGATTTATTCATTCATCAGGGGTAATAAATAAATTAAAAACTCAATTTATTCGACTATTTATTCATTATGAATCTCATTATTTTCATTCATTCATGTCTTCCGTAAGAGATTTATTAATGGCGGCTGCTTGTATTGATCTTGATCCTGCAAATCTTCAAGTCGCCTCTTCTCTTTTATCTCAACTTGTTCTTCTTCTTCCATCAATCACAAATGAGAATGAAAAGAGAATACTAAAAAGCGTCTATTGGAAACTTGTATGGCAAATTAATGCTCTTACTGGATGGGGTAAAACCATTAATTGATTCTATTCTTTTATTATTCTTTATGTTTATTTTTCATTAAATATTTAATCAAAACTTAAATAAAATAAAACTAATAAAATAAAAGAGATAAAAATCATTTAATTATTATTTTATCATTAATAAATAAATAAAATAAAATAAAAAGAGAATTAATTAAATTAGAGCTTCTTTAAGCCGAGCTCTATCTCCATTTCCTCTCTATTAAAGAGCTCGAAGGCTATATCCCACGCATCGAAGATACCGTCTCGAAGACACCAATCGTCGATGTAACGAAGGAGGTAATCGAGCGTCTCCTTCGACAATGATTCGATGCCTACAGTCCTTACCTTGTGGATGATTGCCAATATAAAGGTGAACTCATATTTCAGAATTTCAATAATGTTGTATTCAAATTCACTGTTGAAATGGTAATACTCATAATTGCGAAACAATAAATCAAAACTATAGCTGTCACCCCATTTTTGTATATTCATATTCATTTTATCACATTCTTTCGTGGTTAATATTAAAAATAACGTTTTGAATCTGTCTGATAATCCATCGTAGCAGTTATCTCGTTGTGCCATCGATCGTTGTATACTTTATCACTATAGAATCCATCTTTAAATATAACCAGAGTAGGACATCAGACATTCCAAAAGGACATTCAACATGCCAATAAAAATATTTTAATTATGAAATAGTAAAAGAATAATAAAGAAAATAATTTTGTTTCATTTTTATTATTAACATTTTAATATAATTATTAATATTTTTATTATATCTTCTGAATGAAGAATTACATAAAATGTATTATTTTCATATTCTTTTGTTTTTTTATTTTTCAAAAATAAAATAATAAAGTTGCATAAAGTGGAATAAATTATAAAAAGTGTAAGAATAATAGAATATTCAAAAAGTGTAAGAGTTATAAAATATCTTTTTATTACTTCAAAAATATCTATAATAAGGAAATTACGAAAATAACGAAGATATAATACTTCAAAATAAGAAAATATCTAAGAATAGTTCAAAAATATCCAACAATCGTTCATTTTAAATGGAATACCTCAAAATATCTGTATCTGTTCTAAAAATATCTGTATCTATTCTAAAAATATAAATATAAATCTATTTATAGAAAAATGGTATTTTAAAAACAATAATATAAACATAAAAATGTTATATAAAACAATAGTAATAAAAATGTTATTTATCCCAAAAGGACCAGATTTTCCCACTGTGTATATATGATGTATCACACTATTGTCAAATTGTACCATAGAAAAATATTATAAAAAGATATAATTATAATTCAATAAATTAAAATTAAAATTTAAATAAAATGAATAAAAATATTTAAATAGAAAATAAATAAAAAGTAATTAATTAAGTATTAATAGAATTTACTTAAATATGATTAAATAATAATTAATTTGTATTATTTATGAACATTTTGTATGTATTGTTTCTCTTTCTTTATTCTTTTTGTATCAACACCATAAACAAACTTTAATATAATTCATGTTTTGACTTTCCAAGTTATTATATAGTTACGATGGTGTGTTTGAATTAGAAATTGATTTGTTAATATTCAAAAAGATGTAAC